CATGGCACAACCCTTTTATATATAGATGTTGTCTACATGAAAGGTGGTCAAATTGGTTAGACTTAAGTTTTTAATTGTATTTTCGTGTATAGGATAAGCCATTTTGTGTGATGATGAATGTTGTGTTTGCTGGACTGACTTCTTTCATTCATTGAATGATTGAAACATAAGTTCAGTCACATACATTTATTGGGTATGCTGATGTATGATTTGAATAAAATGTGTTTTTTTTTTTCGTAATTTCACTTTATGAACGTTTAAAATTGTTTTCAAATGTTCAAATATGAGAGCAGATTTCTCAAATGTGTTATATTGTATAGTATATTTAATAACATGTCATGATTCGGATTTTTAAATTTCGACATGATAAAAAATTATTGCATTTAGGTTCATATATTTGATACGACACTAACCCAAAAACGCAGTTCACTGATCTGATAATCAGTGAACATTATAATATTATTATTGTGTTATACATCCGATGTCATTGTGTGTGAGGACTAGACCACGATCCTTGATCATATTGAATCGAGTTTACGCAGTCTCATGAATCGGGTTTATTTGAAAATCTCATAGTCGCATGTAGTCTCACACATCCTAATTTGCAACCAAACCCATGTACATCGTTTGGCAGGAAGCATCGACGGCAAAGTACATAGTACAGCAGTATATAGCGGCGACGGGAGGGCAGGCAGCAGTAAACGCGGTGCACAGCATGTGCGCGACGGGCCAGGTGAAGATAAGTGCATCGGAGTTTCACCAAGGGGATGAGAGCGTAGAGGCGCGGAACACGCAGGAGATCGGCGGGTTCGTGCTGTGGCAGAAGAACCCCGATCTCTGGAGCCTCGAGCTCGTCGTCTCGGGCTGCAAGGTCAGCTGCGGCAGCAACGGCAAGCTCTCGTGGCGGCACTCCTCGAATCAGCAGACGCCGGTCTCCAAAGGGCCTCCTCGGCCCTTGCGGCGATTCCTTCAGGTATAATTTTCATAACGTTTTGGACAACGATGGTGCAATCTACAGGACAGAATAATTTATGCAGAAAGTAGCTCTGGTTTAGATTGTACAATTAATTTTGGCTTTCGCAATCGCACTCGATTGGCAACATCAAAACATAATTTCATGTCCATGCTCTAGTTTCTTATCCTATCCTAGTTGCCGATGATACTAACCATAGTATTTCATTTGTTTGTGGGAAGGGATTGGATCCTAGATCGACGGCCAACCTTTTCCTAGACGCGATGTGCATTGGCGAGAAGATCATTAACGACGAGGACTGCTTCATCCTCAAGCTGGAGACGAGCCCGGCGCTCCGGGAGGCGCAGAGCGGCCCCAACTTCGACATCATCCACCACACCATCTGGGGCTACTTCAGCCAGCGGTCGGGCCTCCTGATCCAGTTTGAGGACTCGCGGCTGCTCCGCATGAAGACCGCCAAGGGCGAGGACGCGGATGTCTTCTGGGAGACGAGCACGGAGTCGGTGATGGAGGAGTACAGGTACGTGGACGGCGTCAACATCGCGCACCGGGGGAAGACGAGCGTGACTGTGTTCAGGTACGGCGAGCAGTCGGCGAACCACAAGAGGGAGATAGAGGAGACGTGGAAGATCGAGGAGGTGGACTTCAACGTGTGGGGGTTATCGGTCGAGCACTTTATGCCGCCGGCGGATATTAAGTATGGCCAGTTCGTTTGGTGAGGAGCGTGAATTGAGTTAATTTTGATTTCTATGGTTTGTGAGAGAAGGGTTTCTCATCAATTGTTCATAAGAGTTTTGTGAGAACTTCTCTTTTGAACCTTTTGGTACCTACAGTGTAAATAGGAGGTAAATCTTAAGCCACAGAGGGGAAGCCATTGACAGGGAACAGCCGGGCATTCAAGAAGGTGAGTACATCCGTTTCTCGAATCGGTTCGATCGCAAAACGACCACCCCGCCTCTCGACATAAGATTCGGGCCACAGCGCGCATTGTTGTTTTCGTCGCCGTGTTGCAAAGCGGGCATATCGGGAACATCTCCGGTTCGCATTGTCGAAGGCGGCCTCTGCTGCTAGGCGCCACAAAAATACTTTTATCCTCATGAATTTCCAAACCCCACCACAACAACTTACAAAACTCTACTGATGCATTTGCAAATCTAGGCAATTGTTTTACAAATACAGCCTTCTTTTACAGGATATTTTGTCCCCATTTTTTCCCTAATCACATCAATCGCGGTTTCTGCGGAATGTGAATGTTGGAAATACCCCTAATGCAATCCTCATCAAATAGTTTGGTCCAGTAAGTCTAACTTCCAACTGCGATTTCTGCCAATCGATGAGGGCGTCGACGGTTTGGTCGGGTAGATACATGAGGTTGAGCCGAGGGTGCGGTTTGTGTTCGCACATCTGAGATCCACGGATGATCCCAGACAGTAGCAGATGAACCCGTCCTCAATGGAAAACGCAGCATTTTCAGCTATGAGGCTCCTACAGGAGTATCGCAAGCATCGATCAATCACTTCATATTTGCTCTTTGGCAACTGCATGTTTGACATAAAATAACCAGGTATGCCTTGCCCCAACATTGGCCTTTGATGTGGCCTCTATGAATTATTGCATGTTAACATAATCATATTGGATGGGAAAGATTGTCCAATAATTACTCTCTCTCCTCATCGCCCAACACCTAAACAGAGATGACATGATCTTTGCTTAGTAAACGAGTTACGTCAGCAAAAATCACATAGCATTGATAAATTGTTCAGCAGACGTCTCGCATAATACAAAAGAAAGTTTGGGCAATTAATTGAAAAAATGAACAAAAATTCAAGTACTTGCAATGTTATAGTCCTTTATGAAAAAGAAGATACTTGAATTTTCCATATTCACACGCTATCCAGACGTTTTACAAACTCGTCCACAAACAGCTGCATTTCTTGCAAAATTGAATGTGAGGATCTAGCAAACAATATTAGGAAGGGTGAGCATTGATCCCAATTCAAACCGAACCGAATTGGTCGGTTCAAGGCCAGCTCTCAGGTTAACCGGTAAGTTCTTTGGCGTAAAACCTCGAAACCGACAACGGCCGGCTTGGTTCTCGGTTAATGCTCTAAACTATTGGTTCTACTCGAGAGTTGACCAACCCAACTGGTTCAAGGATTGAACGTGTTTAGAACCAGTTTGACACTTTACATGAAAAAGAAAAAGGGTAGAAGCTACAAAAAACCTCAAATTATATACATTATGACACATTTACCCAAAAAAAAAATTGTGACACCAGATATCTCAAATTTATACCCGTATGATATATTTACTCCAATCTTATACTTGTAAGACACATCTACCTTTTTTGTGACACAAAAAAAATTCCAAACTCTTATACATGTGACACGTTTACCCTAAACTTATTTTTTGTTACATAAAAATTACTAAACTTAGACCTGCGCCATACATTTATCCTTTGTTAAGATTTATTTTCCTTTTCTTTTTTCCTTCCTCGTTTGTCTTCGTCACCACCGCCCTTACCGTCGCTATCACCACCGTCCTCAACGCCGCCAAATTGAGGAAGAAAACAAAGGAGGAAGTTAAAAAAATGAGAAAAGAAAAACATACAATGAGTTGACATATTTTTGCCACATGAGCGCTACGTCAGCACTATTTGCTTTTCATCGTCTGTGTAGGCAGCCACATAATATTTTTAGCGGCATTCATTAACGGAATTTTAATGAAGGGTAAATGTGTCACGTGATCACAAGCTTGAGGTAACTATGTTACATGGGTATACGTTTAGGGTAAATGTGTCGCATGGGTATAAATTTGGGTTTTTGGTGTCACAGAAAATAGTTTGAGGTAAATGTGTCACATAGGTATAAGTTTGGGGTGTATGACATAACAAGAAAAAGTTTAGAATAAATGCGTCATGGTGGGCATATTTTGAGATTTTTTATGAGTTTTTCCAAAGTAAAATTAGAAAGTTGCAACTTTGAGAAGTCAATCCCACGGTACGAGGTTAGAGTGCAATTTTACTCGACTAAGCATAGACTAGTTGACACTAGTTAATAATATGATTTCACAAGATAAACCCGGTTCTCATGTAGAATCGAGAACCTATCTCGGTTCGATTTCAGTGCGGTTCTAAGAGTAACCGGCTTGGTTCTCATTTCCAAAAATCATAATTGACACCTACAAGGCAATTCCTGGTTTTAGTCGTAAGGTTCCATTCATTTCGCGAAAAATATGACGTTTTTAGAAAATATTTTCCAATAAGCTATTTTCCAGGGAAATGACAATATTTTCCGATGTTCTGCCGAAACCTGAAAATAAACTAGAAATTCTTTTCCTCCTTTTAGTAGGGAAATTAGATTTTTCAAGGTAAATTACCAAAAAAATCGATTTTTTTAATTTTTAATTATTTTCTTCTTCTTCTTTTCCTTTTCTTTCCTTTTCTTTTTTCTTCTTCCTCGACTGATCACTACCGATCGACCATAGGCAAGGCTCGAGCCTCGCCCAGCTCGCCGGATCTAGCGAGGCCCGACCTCGCTCAACCGGCCACAGGCAAGCTCGGGCCAGGGCAGGGCTTGTAGCTTAGAGGATTAGAACACCTAACGAAAAATTAGTCAATTCCTAGCAGGTAGAAGGGATTAGGAGGGAAGAAAAGGGCTTTTAAAAACAAAATCTTGTTTGGATTGAGGGATTTAGAAGGAGAGAAAGGATCAAGAGAGATCGGTAAAGTCATTTTCATGTGCATCTTAAATCGTTCTAAATTCGTCCAATTGTGGAGCGATTAGAGGATTAGGAAGGTTTGGTACGATGAATTTTTTCTTCTTTCTCACTCGTACCCTAATTTTATATTTATTGACAAACACATAAAAGAAATTTTAAGTCGTGATATACATTCTTTTTGTGTATTTTTCCTCACCAACATTCAAACCACATCACGACTCCTCCAACCCTCCAAATCATTTTTTCTTCATCGTCTCTAATAATTATTAACATGGGATGAAAGATACGCGATGTCATCGACCCAACAAATTGTTCCTCCCTAAAATGACCTCCCATTGCACATGATGCCACTTGCTTTACAAACGTGAAAGCATATGGAGCAATGGATGGATAAGGCCCTCGCCGTCTTAGACCAGTAATCGCTCTCGAGTTCCCAACACACACACACTCTCTCTCACTCTTTCTCCAACCATCGAAACCCCCAAACCATGCTGCTCCTATCTCCGACGCCGGCCCAGCTCATCCCGCCATCTCGACGCCGCCGTTCTCGCTCCGCCGCCGCCGCCGCCGCCGCAAAGACCCGCATTCCTGCTCCATCCAGGGTGCTCTCCATGGCCAAAGATACCAGCGACCCGGACTCGGACGTGGGCCTCGCCGGCAAGGCCGCCATCGCCGGGGGCCTGGTCTCGACCCCGGTGATCGCGTGGTCCCTCTACACCCTCAAGACGACGGGCTGCGGCCTCCCGCCGGGCCCCGGCGGCTCCATCGGCGCGCTGGAGGGCGTGAGCTACCTGGCGGTGCTGGGGATCGTGGGCTGGTCGGCCTACACCAAGTCCAAGACCGGGTCGGGCCTGCCCAGCGGGCCCTTCGGCCTTCTGGGCGCCGTGGAAGGGCTGTCATACCTGGCGCTGCTGGGGATCGCCGTCGTCTTCGCGCTGCAGTTCTTCGAGAAGGGGTACATTCCCGGCCCGTTGCCGGCAGATCAGTGCTTCGGCTGAGCTGAGGTTGATCCCTCTCTCTCTCTTGGAGCATAGACGGTGTGGACATGAGCCATTTCAACGTTATCGTGTGTTTGTGGTGGGGATTGGCCCTTGGACGAAGCCTTACATACGCGGTCCATTTTTTCTTTTGTCCGCGACTATTGTTCTATTTGCTTGATTGGCAACCCGCATTTGTACATTTTTATTAAGGTTCGTGTCAACGAATGCTCGGTATCACTTATTTAATGTATGTAGTGAAAGGACCATAAATCCGACTCGATCGGGCCAGTCTAAAATCACCGTCCAAGCGCACGCTCAATTGGGCAGGCCGCCTAGCTTATAGTGATGTCCATCTTCCCCGACCGACTTGCTCTTATAGGTACGACCTTAGGAAGAGTTGCCTCCCTTCTATGGCACATTTAGTCTAGAATGCCAATCATTTGGACACTACCAAAATTTCCCTATGTTCTTTATTCTCGGTCGTTCATTGATTTATCATATGGGTCTTGTCAACAAGTATTCCACGCGACGTTTATTAGCATACGTATCAAAACAAATGTTAATAATTTGCCAACCCCGCTCTACGTGCATCGCTGACGTCGGTTGGGGCATCAATATCATAGCGTTTACCATGAAAGACTATATTTTTTGCAACACTTTTTTCATTTGATTACGGTATTTGGGCCTGATGGGCTTGGACCGATGGAAATGGCTAAGCCCATTATTAGGCCTGAAATGCCTCATCCAAGTCTGCTCGTTGTTCGATTATCAATTTAGGTGCGTTTATTTTGCGAAAAATGAACCATTTTTAGCAAATACTTTCCAGAAAATCATTTTCCAAGAAAATTAGTTCATTTTTCGGTGTTTGGCTAAAACCTAAAAAGACTTGGAAAGTATTTTCAGTTGTTTGGTGAGGAAAATCTTATGGTGAAAATTATCAAAAAATTTTGTATTTTTTAAATTATTTCAAATTATTTGTTATTTTTAAATTATTTTTATTAAGAAAATAAAATACATGAATGTTTTCTTTCTTAGAAAGAAAAGAAAAAAAAAGAAAAAATATTAACAATTCAAGATGAGTAATTCTGGAAAGTGTTTTCACTTTTTTAGATTAGGAAATTCACTTTCCTAAAATTAAACATGATAGTATTTTTCGTTGATAAAATCATTTAGGGAGAACCAAATGAATGAAAATCCGGAAAACACTTTCCAGAAAAACACTTTCACCAAAACAAACACACCTTCTAAAATCGATGATTGGATGAGGGGGCAAGTCGATCACAAGAAAGATAACCGCGTCTATCTGCAGCAAAAAACCGTCAAACAGGTGGATCGAGTCGAAAGTGATCAGACTCAAATTGACTGATTTAACCAGTTTTGATTCATTTACATGCAACACAAATCTAATGACCCAACACATACCCAACCCGAATCCAATTTAAAAAACTTGTTTCTTATAAATTTTGAAAAATTGACTTGTTACAACACACCGTGGACAATTTTCTACGTCTAGTGACCGGCGGCCGGTGGTGATCAATGACGGCGGTGATCGGTGACTGAAGAGGACCAATGACGGCAATGACCAGCGACAACCAACGACCGGTGATTACTGAAGACTAGCGATCGATGGTGAACAGCAACAGGGCAACGACTAGGGCCGATCGGTTAAGGTGGAACCGGGAACCCGACTAGAAGGACCAGTTTCCAAAATTGAGAATCGAGGATCAGGAACCGGACCGATCCAATGAAACCGGTCACTTATGGTTTAGTTCACATTTTATTAATTTTTGTCAATAAATTTATGTTTATGAAATTGACTTAGGGTTTAGTTCACAATTTACTAATTTTTTTGATGAAATAAAAAATAAAAATAATATATGTAATGGTTCCGGTTCAATCCGGTTCCCCTTTAGAATTGGAAATCGGACCGCCTGGAACTGGGAATTGAATTGGCACTCCTGAAAACTGAACCAAACCAATTTGGTCCAGTCCGGGCAATTCCCGATTTGGGCAGTCCATTTTACACACCCCTAACAGCTACCCTTGTCGGATTTCCTAGAAAAAGAAAAGGAAAAGAAAGAAAAAATGAAAATTTAAAAAATTAAAAATCAGAAAATTAAAAGAATTTTAAAAAATGACTTGTCTATCTATAACTCATTTAAACTTATTAGATTACTAACTCATTTATGGCCATTTTAAAACCATTTAAGACTCATTAAGTTATTAACTAAACCATTAACGACCTGCTTAAGTTTGTTTTTAAAATTTAAGGCAATTCATTTATGACCCACACCATTAAATACGGGTTAATATATGGATTTTAAACTCATTTTGCCACCTCTAGTTTTACCATCCTAAACCCAATATAACTCATTTACTGAACATGACTAGTCTATATAACAACTCGGTCTATCAAATATAGGTTAAGAAATTTGTCTATGACCCATTTTAACATATCTAGCGGTAACTAATAATATGTGAGGATTCAACTCGACTAGACCAATCTAAAATCACTGTCCAAGCGCGCTCGCATGATGAAAGTCCATTTACCCTGATTGTACGTGTCAAAAGATACTTTTATGGGTAAGAGAATAGGAAGACTTGCCTCCCATCTTGGGGGGACACATTCATTCTTTAATGTCAAACATTCAAACTTCAAAGCCCCTAAAATCCGAACGCAGCTGCCCGACGTTGCATCTTTATTCGGCATCAACGTTGCAAAACCCACGTATCGGTGAAGTCTCGCGGAGATTGCGCAGAAACTCCTCGAGAACAAGAAGAACGGAGCGAGTGGTCAAAACAGGAAGGTACGAGGAAATTAATTAGCCGGGGACGAGATTGACGTGTATTCATCGTCGTGATGATCTAATCACGGCAAAAAGCACTTGTTAATCAAGACATGATTTGGTTAAAAAAAAAATAATCAAAAACATGATTCGATTTGCAAGAAGAAAAATGACGAGATGGCTTTTTTTTCCCCCTTTTTTTTTATTAATATCACGAAAAATCTTGAATTAATAAATTCATGACAAATTTACTTAAAATTAATTTTTTTATCACAAAAAACCCTCAGATCGGTACACATATAACAAATTTACCCTAAATTAATTTTTTGACAATTTAAAAATCCCAAACTGGTATATTTGTGACAAGTTTACCCTCAAACTTGTATACCTGTCAACTGTCATGTGTCATCTAATTCAGAAATTTGACGGTAAAATTTAATAGAAACTAACGGAGGGTAAATTTATCACGGGTATACTGGTTTGAGGTTAGTTTGGGATAAATTTATCGCAATTGTAACAATTTAAGGTTTTTCATGGTATTAACCATTTTTTTGTCAGAAAATGAAGAAATTGGCTTTATGCGACAATAATTCTTCGTGGAATTTTATAAGGCCAGTCAAAGGGAAAAAAAATAGTTTCGGGTCAACGGTCTAAGCATGACCTGTTCAATTATGATATTATAGTTTTTAGAGCTCTTAAAGATCGATAAAGGGTTGAAAAGACGTCGTAGTGTTACACATTGTATAATAAATGTGGAAAATTAATTCCGAGGTATCTTTCAACCAAAAAAAATAATTCCAAAGCATCTTCTTGTTTTGCAATATTCGTGGATTTTTTTTGCTTTGAATCTTCCGGCTCAAGTTTAGCATGTCGAATCTATCGCACTCGTGGATTGCTATTTAAAAGAATAAAAGTGGACCTAGGAATTTATGTGACGAGATTATCAATGAAAGGAGGAGGAAAGTAAAATGTTTTTTCTTTAATTTTTATAGATTATAAACATGGACATCGCTCGCTTTTTTAAGATTTTTTATGTTGGCTATGTCCATAGCTCTAAGCTAAATTACGATATACGCTAAAATCTTTCCATCTTTACCCGTTACTTAGCTGATTAAAGTATCTTCAATTAAGTTAAAGCTTAAGACCACGACTAATTTTCACTTATTCAAACTGATGTCGCAATTGTAGCACACTTATTACGATAGTGTTAAAATATTTAATTATCAAGCTAGGTAATATTTTAAATTAAATTATTTTAATTTTCAGTCTATGTTCCATTTAAAGTGTGAATAGGCTATGATTTAAATAATATTTTTCAATATTAAAGATAATTGCATGTTTTTAAGAAAACTATTTATTTTACTATAATCTTGAAGTGACAGGTCTTATAATTCGGTTAACTTCCATATAATCAAAAGCAGGAAATATATACTAAATTGTCTTTAAAATAAGGTATGATATGTGAAAGTTCTTTTAATTTTTTATTCACTAATAAAGCTACTTTCAGAAAATAGATGGTATTGCTTCAATTAATCTTTTTTTGTTTTGTAATTGATGCAATTTTTCTAAACTCGATAAATATCATATTGGGAATACTCTCTTTTTATCACTTAATAATGTATTTGAAAACACTTTCTCATTTTTAAAAAATTAAACTCAATAAAAGATATATCTTTTAAGATGACGATTTAGTGGGCTAATACTTATTGGTCGAATGTAAACCACATCACAATCTTTTCTCTTCTCGTATATCCTAATTACTTATTTTAGAAATATTGTATCTATGGACATTATAGGTAACCGATAATCCTATGCTGTCCAAGCACACTTGCATGATAGGCTGATTAGTCGGGCTGCCTAGCTTATAGTGAAATCTAACTTTGTTTCGCAAGAAATCGGGATCTGTCCTGATTAATGAAATATATTTCACCCAAAGTTGATTTTTGATTTTTTGTAAATCGAATTCAGTGGTGATTCGCACGGAAATTAATTTTTGCGTAACGAGGACAAAGAACACTAAATCTAAAGAAAAAGAAATGCGGGTAGTGAAAACTGAGATATATCGATAAAATTGTAATTGAGAAAATATATAGCTTTGTGTTGATGACAACAATTACACACCACTTTATACAGTTTACTACATAGCATAACCGCTCCTAAGCAGTTAATATTCTAATTGACAGCTACAACCACATCTCCATAACTTTAGGTCCATCATTATCTACGAAACCGTTACAACTCTTTAAGTGCTGTTGGACTTAAACCGGCATCTTCACTTTGTTTGCTCTCCTAATTAATTTGGTCATGTCGATTATAAAATAATTTGGTCAATTTTTTTCTAAGTCAACTATTTCCCTGTCGGTGAAGCCTCGTGGTGATTGCCCGGAAACGACTCGAGAACATGCAAAGTGGTCAATAAGAAAAAGGATGAGAATCAGGGGAGTCAAAGGCACGTGACGTGCGAGATTGACCCGTGGGAAGCAATCGATGTGTATGATTCATCGTCATGATGATCTAATTATGGCAGAAGCACCGATCAATCAAACATGATTTGATTTGCAAGAAGAAAAATTACGAAATTGATTTTTTTTTCCCCTTTTGTTGGCCAGCAAATGATGAATTTGGCATTATGCGGCGCTAATTCTTCGTGGAATTTTATAAGGCGTCTTAGAGGAAAAAAGACAAAGAAAAAAGAAACAATTTCGAGGTCAACGGCGTAAGCGTGATCTATTTCGTGTCACAAAAAAAAGTTTGAGATAAATGTGCCATACGAATATAAATTTAGGGATTTTGGTGTCACAAAAAATAATTTAGAGTAAATATGTAAAAATAGGCAAAAAATAATTCCCTTATTATAGATCCATGATGGTAGAAAAGACGTCGTGGTGTTGATACGGTACAGTAAATGTGGAAAATTAATCTTATTAATTTTTTGTAATTGATGCAATTTTTCTAAATTCCAAAAATGTTATTGTGGGCATACTCTCCTTTTTATTTGTTTTCAAAATTTAAACCGATAATAGATAAAATATTTTTTATGACAAATTAAATTTTATCACTTAATAATGTATTTGAAAAAACTTTCTCTTTCTCATTTTTCAAAAATTAAACTCAGCAGAAGATAGATCTTTGAGACGACAAATCAATGGGATAATATCATTGGTCGAATGTAAACCACGTCGCAATCTTTTCTGTACTCGTATATCCTCAACAATTACTTATTTTAGAAATATTGTATCCATAAATAATTACGTAAATGATAATCCTATTTCATTATTGAAATACTCACACGTTTCAATATAAATATTTGCCTACTTTTTATCCCACAAAAACTTCTTAAAAAAATTCATATCTTGAAATATCTTTCTTTTTCCATATAAATCTATATAATTTTTTTATAGGGTTAATACCATGAAAAACTCAAAACTGGTACATCTGTGTCAAATTTACCACAAACTAATTTTTTTGCCACAAAAAATCTCAAATTAGTGCACATGACAAATTTACCTTCAATTAGTTTTCATTAATTTTTACAATGAAATTGCTAAGTTGGATGATACGTGTCAGTTGACAGGTGTACCAGCTTTGAGTTTTACCTTACGTTTGTCACATGCCAGTTTATAGTTTTTCGTGGTATTAATCCAATTTAATGAAAACTAACGAAGAATAAATTTGTCACGAGTGTACCGGTTTGGGATTTTTTGTGGTCAAAAAATTAGTTTTAGGTAAATTTATCACAGGTGTACCAGTTTGGGGTTTTTCGTGGTATTAATATTTTTTGTATTGTGTTTTTATCAACAATTTCTTTCCATTGATTCAAAATTTTTTAATAAGTTGGTTTTTTGTACACACAACTCGCATGGATTTGCTAGTCTTTATTCCTCTTTCAGTCTTTTTTAAAGCACAAATAACATCATAATTAAATTCCAAAAAACTATCTTCCATAGTTTCAGTTATTTCTACTTTTAAGTTCTACTTTATTTAGCAATAAAATGGATTTATATAAATCTACTTTCAATATTTTTTGTTCTTTCCGTTTTCAAATTTAAATGCAATAAGGAAATAATTCCTCAATATACTTTCATCCCTATATATTTGTAAATGTAAATTTAATAAGGAGATATTTCCACACTTCAAAGTGTAAAAGTTCTATCTTTTAGTAAAACGTGTTATTGTTTTTTAACTTTCAGATTTTAATTTAGTTTATTTCAAATTAAATGAATACTTTCGTAATTATTTCCACATAGGTAATATAGTTTTAAAATGTATTTCAAAATATCTTTACCTTAATTTCTATTTTAAACTCAACGAGAGATTAACTTTAAGGATTAACAAATCAATAAAATATAACTTAGCCATTGATTACGTGCAACCTAATTTTAATATTTCAATGCAAAATATTAGAGATTGCTTAAAGTTATAAGAGAGAGGTAAACGTGAGTGAAAAGGGTGATGATTATACAAGTTTAATGGACGATTTTAACAGCGAAAAGTCTAATTTGAGAAATAATTCCGGGAGAGATGTATTTTGAAAATTACTTATCTAGAGAAATCTATTTTGAAGAAAAAAAAGATGTACGAATATGTAAATTTAATGATATAGTCCATTAGACATGTATCGCTCATTCGGATAGTTCTCTTTCAAAATCTAATATGATATATAATTGGCGATTTCGTTACCATCTTTCTAAATCCATCTATATCCCAAGGAATTTAAACTCATACCTTCTAATTCTAATCCAATCTCAAGAACTTTTCATAGCAGTCGCCCATAAGGAGAAAAGGAAGACAAATTGAATGACGAATTTATCGACGCGTCAATGAAATTGCAATATGAAGCGATGACGTACTCGTTGGGGCAAAAACAAAAGAGAGAAGGCAACAAAACATGCATCGTGTCAATCGATAACCAATACGGAACAATTTTACTTCTCAAAAACAATGTCAGCTTCGGACGCTCGTTGCAAATTTAAGTACTCGGGAGACACATTAGGGGGGAATATCTCAAGGGGTACCTCACCACAGCAGGGGATGCAAGCATCCAACTAGGGCCACCCCGCCTGTCTAGATGTACACACCCAATGGGTTGACAAATCTGCGGTCCTTATTTTAACATACTGGTGCCCACACATGCTGACCTCTAATTTGAGAGAAAGTTTTTCTTTCCTCTCCTTAGAGAATACCTCCGAAGTTTAACGTCCTTGAGTTCAGACGGAATAGTTTAAGGACCGATTTAAGTCCAATATCAATATAATATGATTGGAAAAAATAAAAGTTCGAAAAAACGCGAAGACTTGGGGTCTGCGGGTCTTTTCTTATGCACTGCTTGGTTTTCACGTTACCTGAAAAGTCTCTGTTGACTTCCCTTCATCGTCTTCATCGCTAAGAAACATTCTCTCTCTCTCCTCTCTCTCTCTCTCTCTCTCACTCACTGCTCGCATATAGGTTTCTGCTTCTCCACTTCTTCGGTTCCTGTGTTGACTCGGGTCGTCGTCTCTGAACTCTCAACAGCCCCGCACCGATCGCGATCTCCGCTGCTCTCGCGATTCCGGGTACCGGTACATCTGCCTCCCCTGTCTCCCTGTTCTTCCGTTGCGGGTTTTTCTTCCCATCGTTTTTGGTTTGGTTTTTTTGACGATCGCTTGGCTTCTCGTCGTTCTCGAGCGGTTTTTCTTTCCTGGGTCTTCGTTGATCTGTGGTCTTGTCTCGAATTTCAAGTTCGTTTCTTTGTGGGAAGCCTTTTTGGCTGACTGCCGGTGGTGGGTACGAGGTAAGTTGAGGTCTCGCCGGAGTGGCCTCGCGTGTCTGTCTCGTCGGTGAGATGACGGGCAATCTGATGGAAAAGGCAAGCGTGTAACTCCGAAACCGGCAATTAACTTATGAGCCACTTCGATTTGTAGTATTCCCACCGTTCTTGGTACGTCCGCTTTGATCGTTGCTCTGCTTCATCGCATTAAATGAAGAAGGAACTAGTTAGGCAGACTCCCCTGCTCCTTTACTTGCATTAGTCCGAGTCGAGGAAGAGGAGATTGCTGCGGTCAGCCGGTATAGAGTGTCGAGGAAAGAAAAGGGCATTGTCCAGACTCCAAAGATAGGGAGAGTTCGACTGAGTCCTCTAGCTTTTGACGATCAAGAGCCAACAATCACAGGGTTCCTCCTCGTTTTTGAGTGGCTTTTCTGGGTTTTTGTTGGTTGATGGTTCTTTCTCGAATTTCAAGTTTGTTCCCTTGTTCGTTTCTGGGATGATTTCCTTGGGAGTAGGGACTAGGTTTTAGTGGTAAGGTTGATCAAGATGGCATTTTTTTTGGCTTTTTTTTCCGTTAATATATGATGGTTTGCGAAATTTATCTGTTTTGAATTGGGGAGGAGGTGCTTAGGTTTGGGTTGTAATGCCTGAAAATAGAGATTTTTGCTATGTGGGTTGAGTGGAAGTCGAGCTTAAATATGATTGAGAGTTTAACGCACAGTACCTTGATTAATTGCCCTTTTCAATGTGTGTAAAGTCCTTTAATTTGTCTTGCATTCACCTTCTCAAGGCAATTAAGTTGGAAATTTCATGTAGACACCTCCTTTTTGGCGGTTATTTTTCTTGTTTCGTCTTTGATTTGGTGGTGAAATATTTACTGTTGAAATGGGTGATTTTAACATGTAGCTTTTCATAGAAGCTTCAAACAAGTAGGCGATGACGGACTCGGAGTTGGATAACATGCTGGAGGATGCTAGCTTCTCGAGCGATATGGCGAGCGATATGGAAGACGATTCTGATGGAAGTGGTGATTGGATCATAGTCAACCAAATGGAGTCCTTGGACCTGAATGGTGGCGTGGTATGTTCCGATAACTATAGAATCCTATACTTTTGTTACGCATAATACATAGTGTCTCTATTGATCAGATACAGAGATAGATGTCATTTTCTTGTTAGCATCATTCCATGGTACTTGACAACGTAGCCCATTCTTCACTTCTTTAAAATAATTCGCTCTTTTGTATGAATGCAAAGTAATTGATTTGGATACTCTTTACTGCTATTGATACAGATAAGTGATTGGGAATTATCCTCTGACGAGTCGATTGGACAAGAAATGCAGTCCTTGCGTCTCAATGATGTGGTATGTTTCGACTGTTCTTAAATTGCTTAAATGTAATTTACGGAGGACACAGTATATTTGAACTATAACTTCTGTTGATGGCTCTTATACAGAGACAGATGTAGTGATTTTCAAATCATTTTTATTCTCTGTAAGTATTTTTTCTAATGGGATTTTGAAATCATTCTCTCTCTTGAAATCATTCACCGTATGTTAACGACGAAGCATATCTGTCTTTGAGATTCATTTGCTGTTTTGTATGAATGCATAAGAAATTAATTTGGTTTCTCTTACTCCTATCATCAAAAGGTCACATTTTAGTCTGTCCTCACCATATGAATTCATAACCAATGAGGGAAAAGGAGACAGCTTTCAAGTTCAGTATGCTAGCTTCTGTTTGCTGTTGTAGCCGAATCAAATTTTTGGTGGATTAATTTCAATAAGATGAGGGGTGGGTTAGTCTTTGCTTTCATGCAGTTTCGTATGAGGACAAAACTAATGCACTCCATCACTAATTTAAATGCAACACTAAGCACTTCCTTTTGAAGCTTTATGGTAAAGAGAGAGAGAGAGAGAGAGTTTGAGCGTCTGAACAACTTTATCATTGAATCTCCTCGCTGTGCTTTTCACTAACGTTTTCCTTTGGCTTGCAGCTACAAATTGATGGTCCTGAACGCATCATTCATCAAGATTCGAATCGTGTTGCAGAATTCATCCGAAGGTTAAGGCAGACCAGGGGAACTTGCATTGAAGAGGTCGTAAGGGAGCATGTTCTCCCTTTGCTTCCCGCCAAATCGCTCTGCAGATTCAGAGCTGTTTGTAGAGGATGGAATCAATGGATTTTGAATCCCTTTTTAGCCCACAAGCAAACTATGCAGTTCCAACGCATCTCTGGCTTCTTTTGCCAGAAACCTGGTTATGATTGCTACTTCATTCCTCTGGACCCAGAGACACATGGCATGCCAGATCCATATCTCACCTTCATGCCCATACTCGTCAATATCCGCTCCATTTTCAGTGGCTTGCTTTGTGTCCAAGGAGTCGATGACGCCTATTATATTTGCAACCCTGTGTCGAAGAATTGGAAAATGCTTCCGAATCCGAGTTACTATCATGGGCATGGAACAGCGGTTGCCCTTGCCTTTGAGCCCTCGATGTTCAACTTCAGCGTAAATTTTGAGCTAGTTTGTGCAGTTCCACTTACTGATTCGGGATTTGTAGTATTTGAGATTTTCTCATCAAGGTCGAGGTCTTGGAGGGCCTCGGACGACATCTGCTTTGAGCTGGCGAATGCAACATTTGTTGGCGATGGATACTATTGGGATGGATCTGTTTATTGGGTGGTTGACTGCGGGGTAATACTGGTCTTCAATTTGAAGATTGAGCGTTACAGTATCATGCAATTACCTGATGGAAGCGGTACTAATGGTACTCTGACCGAGATGCAAGGGGAGTTGCGTTATATTGTGGTCCTCAAAGAAGGCTCTGATCTTGCTATACACATATACGGGGGAGTGGATATGAGCTCGAGACATAGGATCTGCATCCCAGGGGCATGTTCAGGAAACATTCCGAGGCAAGTTCGGCTTATGGGTTGTGTTGACGGGGATGTCCTCCTAATGTGCATAGGAAATGTCGTGATATCACATCGTATCTCCACAGGAGAAGCCCGGATGTTGGGTGCGGACCGGATGCGTGGAGAATGCACGGCGGTGAGGTATCTGCCGTATGTGAACAGCCTGGTACATGTGAACGAGCTCTCCGAGCCCTGTGAAGATATGGAGAGCATGGACTTCTAGGCACATGTCCTCTTTTCGTGTTTTCTCTTCCTTAATAGTATCACGGGCCGAGACACGATAATTCGGACTATGACATTAGCTGGTACTCGTTTCTGGTGCTTTAAGACCCGTTTAAATTTCTGTAGAGTTTGGTTTCGGGGATTCCACTCGGGATTATGTAGAGAATTTCAAACTTTGTCGATGCGTCTGCCGATAACTTCAGTTCTCTGATGCATGTTTCAGGGAATGATCTTAATGGTTGATACCATCTTTCTGTGTAACTACTTGTTAGATCCTCTTTCGGTGTAATGCTTCGGTCGGCTTATGAACCGGGTTTTAGGTAGAGATATTATAACTAAAGATGGGGGCATTCTGTCACTTAGATAACTTCAGTTTGAGGGGCAAATTGATTTCCTTGAATTCATACGTATTCTTGTAGGATAATGTGCATTGGTTCCATTATTCCAGAACGGCTAAAGGTCTCGAGTTATATCGTCTCTCCATTGATTATCAGAGAAGACCTGGCACTTCGGGGAAGTTCATTCAAAACCAGAAAGCTCCATATACAGCCCGGTGAAATTCCTTCTCTCTTCGGAAGCGTACATTCGCGCTAATCATCTGAAAAAAGATGCATAACAGAAAAAGAAACTAGTCGCTTGGCCCGCGCTTTACCATCCCATTCGACCAAATCACGGATTTACCTGTTTCAGGACTATCTATCGTCGAAACGAACACTTTTGACTCATCGGTTTCATATTGGCTTCCATTTCATGGGATTCACTTCGAGTCGCAAGCAATCCACTTCAAGTGATTAGTGAAGAGTGTATTTGTCACGATATTTATGCATAATGAAAGAACGGCTTCTAGAGAGCATGGCTAAAGTAAGATTGATTTTCGGGGAAGTTCGCTTTCCTCTTATCGAAGCTCCTCTTTGCCTTTTTTAGCTGGAAACAAGGGGGCTCAGGCGGCATCGAGCAACGTCGGCAGTAGGGGTGGTGGTCGACGGCGGTCGAGGGTGGTGGGGACTTGGCTCGAGGCTTTAGGTGAGTCGGTATGCGGATGGTTTTGACGCCACGGTGTTTAGGAGGGCTTTTTCTCCATGTCATGGTAGTCTAGATATGTTTAGCTTTGCAAAGGGTTCACGGTGCAAGATTTTGTTTTCAAAAATAAAGAATTACAAGTGGTAAAATAGTGAAAACTCATTTCGCTTTTGGTACTTTTCAAATGATTTTGTTAAAAAGTGCTCAGAAAATACTTAGGTAGCGCATGATAACCATTCTGGTTCTATCCAGAACTGGTTTTCTGTTCCCAGAAATAGCTTTGGACTAGAAACCCGTTTGGTAACACAATTCCATTTTTCTATTTCTGAAACAACTTTTTGTTCCAGAACCAATTTTGAATCAGAAATCAGAACCAAAAAAAAGTAGGTTTTCTATTTCTAGACAAAAAATGAGAATCATTTCTGAGAGAACTCTTTGTTCAAAACACATGTTCATCTGGAAGTCACGATCTTTGAGGTGAGAAAAAAAAGCAAAAAATCAAAAATTTCAAAACTTTACAGAATGGTTTAGAATCTGTGGCTACCCACTTTGAGCGAAATTTAAATTTTTTTAGGTGCCGAAAAAAATAAAAAATTTCACAAAATGGCTTAGAATACCTATGGCCACCCACTTTGAGCGAAATTTAATTTTTTTTAGATGCCAAAAATAATCAAAAAATCTAAAATTTAAAAACTTCACAGAATGTCTTAATAGAATACCTGTGGCCACCCAATTTGAGCTAAATTTAATTTTTATTAGGTGCCAAAAAAAATTAAAAAAAGCAAAAAATAAAAAATTTCAAAACTTCATAAAATGGCTTAGAATACCTGTGGCCATCCACTTTGAGAGAAATTTAAATTTTTTTCGGTGCCGAAAAAAATAAAAAAATAAAAAATTTTAAAACTTCATAGAATGGCTTAGAATACTCGTGGCCACCCACTTTGAGCGAAATTTAATTTTTTTTAGATGCCAAAAAAAATAAAAATAAGCAAAAAAGCAAAAATTTCAAAACTTCATAGAATGGCTTAAAATACCTGTGGCCACCAACTTTGAGCGAAATTTTATTTTTTTTAGGTGCCTACAAAAATAAAAAAAAAACAAAAAATTAAAATTTTTAAAACTTCACAAAATGGCTTAGAATACCTGTGGCCATCCACTTTGAGTGAAATTTAAATTTTTTTAGGTGCCGAAAAAAATAAAATAATAAAAAATTTCAAAACTTCACAGAATTGCTTAGAATACCTGTGGCCACCCACTTTGAGCGAAATTTAATTTTTTTTAGGTGCCGGAAAAAAATAAAAATAAGCAAAAAAGCAAAAATTTCAAAACTTCACGAGAATGGCTAGAATACGTGGCCAACAACTTTGAATGAAATTTTATTTTTTTAGGTGCCGAAAAAAAGAAAAAAAAGCAAAAAATCAAAAATTTCAAAACTTCACAGAATGGCTTAGAATACATGTGGTCATCCACTTTGAGTGAAATTTAATTTTCTTTAGGTGCCGAAAAAAATTAAAAAATTAAAAATACCATTTGGGCACCTAAAAAATAATTAAATTTCACTCAAAGTGGGTGGCTAGAGGCATTCTAAGTCATTTTGTGAAGTTTTTTTTACTTGTCATTATTTTTTTTTGGCACCTAAAAAAATTAAAATTTCACTCAAAGTAGGTGGCCACAGATATTCTAAGTCATTTTGTGAAGTTTTGAAATTTTTGATTTTTTGCTTTTTTTTTCACCTCAAAAAATTAAAATTTCACTCAAAGTGGGTGGCCACAGGTATTCTAAGCTATTCTGTGAAGTTTTGAAATTTTTGAGTTTTTGAATTTTTTTGGGCACCTTAAAAAATTTAAATTTCACTCAAAGTGGGTGGCCACATGTATTCTAAACTATTCTGCGAAGTTTTGAAATTTTTGATTTTTTGATTTTTTTGGGCACCTAAAAAAATTAAAATTTCACTAAAAGTGGGTGGCCATAGGTATTTTAAGCCATTCTATAAAGTTTTGAAATTTTTGATTTTTTGATTTTTTTTGAAAAAATTCAACAAATTTCCTATTTTCCCGAAATCTGAATTTTTTTATTTTTTGGAAATTGTGATGAATTTTTCTAGAATTTTTCAATATTTTTTGGATTTTTTGAATTTTTTGAGATTTTTAGGAATTTTTTGGATTTTCTAATTATTTTATTCCATTTCTAAAAAATGGATTTTTGTTCCTAGAAATAGAATTTTGTGTTGTTTATCAAACGGGTTTTTGTTTCGGGAAATAGAAATTTTGTGCTGTTATCAAATGGGTTTTTGTTCCAGAAATAGAAATTTTTTGTCGTTATCAAACGGGTTTCTTTTCTCAGAAATTCATCCTGGAACCAGAAATAGAAAAATCTATTTCTGTTTCAGGAACTCATTCTTGAACAGAAAGGTTATCATTCGCTACCTTATTGAACAACGAAATAAAGAAAGTCCACAGTTTTCAGTGTTTTATTTTATCTTTTTATGTGTAATCAACACACATACCGTGTGTGGAAAAAAATTGGAAAAATTTATTAGGTAAAAAGAGAGGTTATATTTGAAGATTTTATTTGTCTCGAAAAGACTTCACCTAACTCTTAAGATAAGAATATTTCATTTTCAATTCAAACTAGTAACGGGTAACACGCTTTGCTTCGTGGGTGAAGAAGATAGAAATAGTGAAATTAAATTAATAGATAATATAATGATATGTAAATATTTCGATTCATCTTTTAAACGTACTTTCCACTGTCGTACGAGGGAATACTTGATAGTTAATTTTGAATCCAAATTTAGAAAGGGGAAAGATTCATAGATTATTTGTCAATTATCTTAAGTATGATTGCCATCTAGAGTTGCGAGTAATCACATGTGCAATCTAGAGTTACGAGTAACCACAGGGCATAGTAAATATGTACATAGGTTTTTCGTGAATTCTCTTTTTTATTTGTAAAATATGCATTTATTTAATCAACATGTGCGAGAGTTGAGGGATTTCCTTCTACTTATCTTGATTCTTTTTAAATTACAAATTGCACCCTTTTTTTAAGTAGGAAAAATGATACAAATAGTCCATAAACTTTACCCTTTACCTTCACAGCACGCTAGGCATACTGCCAACCATTATGTATCTTCTTCTAGAGTCATGCCATGGCCTCGAGGCTACTCCAGCTCGCGCCTCACAAAGCAGAGAACCATCTCGAGCTCTCTCTCTCTCTCTGTCAAGCCTTCCACCTCCTCGAGTCCAAGCTCAGACCGCCCCTTCTCAATATGCAACGTGGTCCATGAGCTTTTAATTTGTTCAACATGGTTCATGCGCTTTACCCAGTGTGCAATGTGGCTCTTGAACTTTTAATTTGTTCAATGTGGTCATTGCCACATTGCATATTAGGCCAATGTTCGGGGACTGTTTGTATCATTATCCTTTTTTGGGTATATGATCTCGACTCAATTTAATGATAGAAATTGACATCCAACGGTTTCAATCGACCTTATATAGGGAATGGATAAAGAAGAGAGAGAGAGAGAGAGGGGGGGGGGGGAAAAAAAAGAAAAATCATTCTAAAAAGAAAAGAATAAATACCTCTGACGTGACGTCGTGGGCCGAGGGGCGCCGGGGGGCAAAGTCGTCAACTCAAGGTACGATGGCGCCAGCGTAATTAAGGGGCATCTCCGGGGGCAATCCTTCAAACTCAACTTTCCCGCCCAAAGGCAGCGCCCCAGAAAAAAAGGAAATAAAGAAACGATAAAAAAAAGAATGTCTTTCGAGGCTTTTCTTCGATTTTTCTTTTTAAAAAAAAAAATATTTTTTTAAGCTCTTCGCTTTTATGGAGTGGCTCCCCCCCCCCCCCCCCATTTCTTCTTCTTCCGCTCTCCCGAAGCACCGCAACGTTCCATTTCCCCTCGCCTCCTCCATCGAAGCGGCGGCGGTGAGCTTCCCTTCTCCCTCCCTCGCTCTCCCTCGCTCTCGTTCTCGCCGGCCTTTTCCGCCGGCGCTCGCGGTCGAGGGCGAGCCGGGGGGTTGGCTCGTCTCCCGCCGGCGTTCTTCCCCCTCTGCTATTTCTGCTGATCTTGGCCCCCGTTTCTCCCCGTAGGGTTTTGCTCGGAGGGGCGGAGATGAAGGTGGACGCCGCTGCGGAGTCGCCGACGTCGGTGCTCGGGGAAGACGTATGGTTTTTCTTTTCTTTTTTTTCTTTCTCGCTTTTCCGCGCGCGCTCCTTGTTCTGAGTTGGCTGCTCTTCTGCTGCTGCTTCTTCTCCTCGTCGTTCGTCTTTTGGGAAATGGGCAAATGCCTTGTAGGGATGCTCTCCTTTTCCCTTGCTTAGAAAAGGCAAAAAAAGGATGTGTTTTTTATTTATGGCTCTCTGGCTTTTTGGTTGAGTGGCCAAAAATGTGGCGAGATTGCTCGTCGTATGGATCATTTCTTTCTGAGAGCTTAGAGTTCTTCGTGTACTTTAGAGGCGTCCCTCGTGTATTTAGGTGCTGTGGGTATGAGGGGCTCGTGTTTACTTTCGAATGCTTGATGTATAGTTTGACTGTGAGGTTGATCTTCATATTTTGTTCGTAGTTTGTTTTTCTGTACGAGTGGTTGATGGGTAGCTGCCGCAGTTGCTTACTCTACTTGTATTGTGGCTATGATAATGCGGCGTCTTTCGGCGCCGCTGTCTTTTTCCCAGATTTCTTACTGAAAAATGGTTTTTTGGGCTCCAAGGGCCTTCCAAAAATAGGAAATCCAACTGAACCTTGAAAACGATGTGATAAGCTATATATATATCACATGTTGCTACTTGCTATATAGCTAAATGGCATGGCACATGATGCTGGGTTTTGGCCGATATTGTCTAATTTTGTTGCACATGGGACGGTCGATGTTCGGTCAGGGGCTCTTGTGAACCATGTCATGTCATGTTTGGTTGTCCATTCGAGCAAAAACTTCAGCTGTTTGGATGAAAGAAAACAGAGTGATGATAGTTTAAATACTGTGTATGGCGGTTGCTATGATGCAGATGGCAGGTCAGTGGTGAAAATTCAAATGAGCTAAAGTTGGATGATCACCTATGATATTAACCTATGGATTGAATATTTTTTAGCTTGCCGTGCACTTATTTATCACTTCTGGTGTCGATGACTTGCAGCTGCTGATGGCACTAAAAACTCTCATGCTCATGCTAGATTTTTTTTTTTTTTTTTCAGAACTTTGTTAATGTCGTTACTAAGTAATTCGTATACGTATAGATATTCATTTCTGTCTCTGGATGTACTGGTAGACATTAATTTGTTGCACCTAGATTTTCATATTTTGGTGTGAGATAGATTGGGCATTTGGTTCAGCTTTGTCTTTATGTAATTTTGTCTAAAATGTGTTTCATGTTGGGAACTTGAAGGGCAATTGCACGGAGGAATTGATCCCTAAGCTGGAGGATGAGATACTTTTAACTGCGAAGAATGGAGATTCTTCTCTTATTTCGAAAGCCATGACTGAGGAGGAAGTAAAGTTGCTGGACGCACGTGTGAAAGAAGAAGATGTAGAACAAGAAAATAATTCCGAAGAGCCACCGGAACTGGATGACAACCAGTTTACTAAACTTGATGAGCTTCTAACACAAACCCAGCTATACACTGAGTTTTTGCTGGAGAAAATGGATGATATCACATTTGTATAGTCTTTTACTTCTTTTACCCTGGACGTCTTTCCCTGGTCTATTTCTTTTGGCTGAAATCATAAGGCATATATAATTTGCACATGCAGAATGAAGTGGACCAAGTGAATGAGAGCACTGAAAAAAAGAAAGGACGCGGTCGGAAAAGAAAAGCGGAATACAATCAAGTGAGCATTATGTTGTTTCTTAAGTGAAGTGAATGCAGAATTTTCAGACATATCGCATTTTATAATTGTCAGGGGAGCTCTTTTAAGTAAATGGTGAAATGGGTGGATTGTTTTTTCATTCTCTAAATTTGATTCATGCAAGTTGTGGTGTAGTAATTCTTTTAATGAACTAATCAGAGAAGTTTAGCAAGAAGAAATGACAAATGGCGCTCGAATTTAGTTCTAGTATTGATCTAGAATGAATTCTACCTTTCAGAGTTTGGTGATTTTGTAGGACGCATGTGATTGAAGTGAAACTGCACTCTAAAGCTATCTTCATATGCTTTTTGGTTTTTAAATTTAATCAATGTCTATTTAGAAGACATGGTACTAGGTGCAGCAATCTTTCTTCTTTAAGGTGTATCTGGATAGACTTTTATTTGTGGCTTTATCTTAATTTTGCGATGGACCTACTTTGAATTTTTTTTTCCGACTGACATATGAATGTCGACACATAGATTTACATATAATTTTTTCGTAATTTTTGAAATTTGGATAATATTTTAGATTTTGATGAGAGAGCAGAATAGTATTTTTTGCTATTACTTAATCTTAAACAAACAGGCCCTTAAGTAATAAGTATGCAATGCATGGTTTTTTGAACTTGAGGTCTTTTTGTCTGGGTTCCTGGTTTTCCCCTTAAGTGAAGACCTATTATTCTGTTCTTTCTTATGTCAAATTGGAATTATTTTACCATACCCATGGTGCTTGTTAGCATTTTAGACGATCTTGCACTAATCAATTGATAAGTGTCGATGCATTTAAGGTTGGGCTTCTATTCTTCTATTTCTTTGCCATGTATGGACCTTTTCCTGTTTATAGACTCCTTTGTTTCTTTTTCTTTTTTTTGGTTGAGTCACGATCCTCTTTTTTGTTTTAGGGAAGCATTTCTTATGCAATCAACCTTCAGCCAATCAATTATGAATATGCACTGTTGCATGTACTTTCTAAAGAGCTAGCTAATATAAGGCACTTTAATGACTAAAATTGCTTTGAATGTCATGACTTGCTTTTCAGAGAAAGGCCAAGAGGGCGGTTGCTGCGATGTTGACAAGATCAAAAGAGGGTCCAAATGAAGAAGATGTGAATCTGACAGAGGGAGAAATATTTGAAAAAGAGCAGCAAAAACTTGTACCCTTGTTGACTGGTGGAAAGTTGAAGCCTTATCAAGTCAAAGGTGTGAAGTGGTTAATCTCATTATGGCAAAACGGATTGAATGGAATCCTGGCAGATCAAATGGGACTTGGGAAGACTATCCAGACCATCGGTTTCCTTGCACATTTAAAAGGGAAGGGGTTGGATGGACCATATTTAGTAATTGCTCCTCTCTCTACTTTGTCCAACTGGGTCAATGAGGTTCAGAGGTAATATGCTTCACTTTTGGACAGTGGGACTGGATCTACATGATTACTTTTTGGGTGCATAACATTGCTTTCCTTGGGTATGTTCATATAGGTTTGTTCCCTCTATTAATGCGATCATATACCATGGTGACAAGAAACAAAGGGATGAGTTGCGGCGCAAGTATATGCCTCGAGCAGTTGGACCCAGTTTCCCGATTATTGTCACTTCCTATGAGGTTGCGATGAATGATGCAAAAAGATATTTGAGACACTACAGTTGGAAATACATTGTTGTGGATGAGGTATAAACGTGATTAGTTGTTCGTATAGCTGCTTTTATTTCATCACTGGACTCATGAAATGGAACTATGCAGCTGGGCTTTTCTTTGCTAATCTATTTTACCATCTTTTAGGGGCATCGGTTGAAAAACTCGCAGTGCAAGCTGCTGAAGCAGTTGAAGTTCTTGAGTGCTGAAAATAAACTCTTATTAACTGGGACGCCTTTGCAGAACAATTTGGCCGAGCTATGGTCATTACTCAACTTTATTCTACCTGATATCTTCTCGTCCCATGAAGAATTTGAATCCTGGTAAGTACATTTTGTTTGTTCTCCTTTACCTGCGTTGCTCTTTATCCAATATAAAAATGCCAGTCTGAAACTGGCGAGCTCGATTGTGTCCGTGAACTTGGTCATTAAGAGCCAGATATAGGTCATAGGAGTTGAACTTTGGGTTTTGTTTATGCATATCATTTAAGCATAGTGTCAAGCATTCCGTATAGGAATGAAGAAATGGATGCCCCAAAATTCATATGACGTTAAAACCAATTATGTGTGCATTTAGTCGAATTGCAGTTGTAGTTTTTATAGTTAAGGTGATGATATTTATACTATTGACTTATGGCTCGTGTGTTTCATGAATCAACCAGGTTTGATCTGTCAGGAAAGTATAGCAATGCAGCAACGAAGGAAGAATTAGAAGACAAAAGAAGGGCTCAAGTGGGTATTTTTGCAGAAAGCACAAATGTACTTCAGGGAATTCTTTTCATAACTGTTGCTAGTATTTCTTGTCACTTGTAGGTGGTGGCAAAACTCCATTCTATATTGCGTCCATTTCTTCTCCGAAGAATGAAAGCTGATGTTGAGCAGATGCTTCCTCGTAAAAAGGAGATTATCTTATATGCCACTATGACCGAGCATCAAAGGAACTTTCAGGATCATTTGATAAATAGGACTTTGGAGAATCACTTGCTGGAGACCGTTGACATTGGTATCATGCAGAAACCTTGTGTTGCCTTTGTTTGTTGGTTATTATGTTATTCTTGTGGAAGAAATATGAATGGCGGCCTAATCCTGTTCTACCTATTTCACTAGTGTCTTCGTGTCATTTATGTGGGGCAGTGTTTTTTCTCTTGAGATGTATTAGCATTTTAATTAGCTGGACTTTTATCTAATATTTTTTTGAAATATCATGTATATTTGCGCTTGGTGGTACAATAGCCTGATTGGCCAGCATTAATCTTTTTCCACTTTATTGACTATATTTGTTATAGTTATTTATTTGTTATTGACAATTTTTGCTGATAATTAGAGTCACCTCTCAAGAAGTGTTTGCTTTAGTTACATCTGATTAGCTCTTGTCAAATGATTTATTTGTTGTACTGTTTGACAGTTTCTCTTCCTTCTCAAGTTCTGTTAATAGGTGTACGCGCCTGAATCATGTCTAGTAGTTTGAAACCTTGGCATTTAAATTACTATGCTCTTCGGGTCATTGTTTTCCTCATTGGTTAAAGTTTCTCGGACTTGCAGGACGTGGAATGAAGGGAAAACTTAATAATTTGATGATCCAGCTTCGCAAGAACTGCAACCATCCCGATCTTTTAGAGTCAGCTTTTAATGGATCATGTATATTTCTTTCTTTTTGCCTTGGATATAAATAGGTAGTTTCTTAGCTTTGCTTGACAAATCTCTCTTTCTTGCTCTTGCAATAGGTATCTATCCTCCTGTCGAGCAGATTGTTGAACAGTGCGGCAAATTTCGTTTGCTAGATAAATTGTTGGGAAAGCTATTTGAACGCAAGCATAAAGTATGGTCTGCATTTTGTTTCATTTTCTATGATTTGTTAACAAGCTCAACTTATGTTTCATTTTCTTTTAGGTTCTGATCTTCACTCAGTGGACAAAAGTTCTCGATATAATGGATTACTATTTCAGTGAAAAAGGATATGAAGTCTGTCGAATAGATGGAAGTGTCAAGTTAGATGAGAGGAAAAGACAGGTTTGCCTCTTATGCATTCTGACCATATGAATTTCTTTCATTCAGGACAAGATAAGTGACCCTACACAAACTTCTCAACTATTCAGTCTGCCATTTGTGTGGTGGATTGACATCAAATTTTAGTGGATTCAATGGGTGTGATTTCCCCACTTGTTACCCTAACAAATAGCTTTATTAAGTGGATCAGTGGGTGTGAACATGAGTTGTCCATCCTCATTAGCATGACCTACTCTTCTGAGATTTGCTTTTTCCAATTGTTCATCGAATCGTACCAAATTAGTCAATTATTATTCCATCGTCTGGCTGAATTTAAACTTCTGTCAGGATAAATGAAAAGAAGTAAATGACTTTATGGTTAGTCTGACCATGGTGCAATCTATTGAGCTGGTTAGTTGACTTGTTGCAACTGGATTGTGTTTTTCTTGCAAATGGCTGGCTATGGCCATGGCATCATATTAAGAAATTCATATCTTTACTCCACAACTGGACCTGATAGCATCTACCAGCTAGTGTGCTATTTATTTTGTCATTATAGTAGCAAATCATTTACTTCTGTTGAGTAATCTATAAAGTGATTGTAGAAAGGTGCGACTCAGGTGGCCTGAGGTTATTGAACCCCTGAACTGACTTCCTCCATTTAAGATATTTGATTAGTTGGCCAGACTAATTGCATGTTGGTTGTGTAGAAGGTGCACATCTAGTACAATTTGTCTCAGTAATATGATTAGCATCTTCTGATCTGGTTGATTCACCTTCTGCCAACCTGGTCTGGGTTTCTCACATACTTACCTGTTGTTATTGTTAGTGACAGCTTTGTTAATTGCGGTTTAAACAATTATGTCATTTTTCTGTTTTACTTGGTAATGTCCTGCTTCAGTTTCAATTATTAATAGCTTGGAGATCTTCCGTTGATAAAATGCTCCATTCGCAGATTCAGGATTTTAATGATGTGAATAGCGTCTACAGAATATTTCTTCTCAGCACTAGGGCCGGTGGACTGGGCATAAACCTCACTTCCGCTGACACTTGCATTCTATATGATAGCGACTGGGTATTTCTCTTGCTGTTTTTAGTTTTGCTTCCCCATTGCTCACTTGTTAGTTAATTCAACACGTAGAATGTTCCTATGTCTGAAATTAATATGAAATGTGTTATCTCTACAATCCAGAACCCTCAAATGGACCTGCAGGCTATGGACAGATGTCACAGAATAGGCCAAACCAAGCCTGTTCATGTTTACAGGCTTGCGACTGCGCAATCAGTAGAGGTTAGACGTCGGCAGCCTGTCGCCGATCTTTTCTTTGAGCGGTAGACCAATTCTGTTTAGTGCTGAGAACTAAAGGTTATCTATTTCCAGGGCCGCATCTTGAAGAGGGCTTTTAGTAAGTTGAAGTTGGAGCACGTGGTCATTGCAAAAGGACAATTTCACCAAGAAAGAAACAAGCCTAATACCTTGGAGGTATGTTATTTGCTCAATTAGAAAGTCTTATTATGGTGGGATGAGAAAAAGTTGTATATCTTCTTTGTGCCTGAGAATGTTTTGTGAGTTTCTTTACTCGTGCTCTGCTTGAAATTTGGTTGGTTGATTAAACAGCAGTTGGTTGCATCGCACTTGGTCTATTTAATATCTGTGCTGATCTGTTTGAAACTACAGGAAGAGGATCTACTCGCATTGCTCCGAGAGGAAGAGACCGCTGAAGATAAGATGATACAGACGGATATTAGCGATGAGGATCTGGAAAGGATGTTGGACCGCAGTGATCTGATTGCTGGTCCGCTTAGTGATGCTGAGAAATCTGATGCTGCTGCAGCAAGTGCTATGCCTCTCAAAGGACCCGGTTGGGAGGTGGTGATACCAACTGCATCTGGAGGCATGCTTTCAACACTCAACAGCTAAAAGGTACCGAGCGAGACCTCGTCATATCTCAATTATTCGGCACATTGGGGATTTTTTTTTGTTGTGTTTTTTGGGATATCATTAGAAGATTTATGAGGCAGTTCTCCCTTTTACTTGGGCCGGAACTCATCAACTGGAGAAAAAGCATCCTCAGGGGAAGCTCTCTTTCATTTTGTGAATGTCTTTGATAGACTGTTTTTCAGAAAGGGAGCTGAATTTTGTAAATTGCTTATGGAGGGGTCGCTTTTCCACTGTGCACCAAACCTTTATATGAGCTCGAGGTACTTTATGGTGCGGAAACATAGTTATTTTGGGGCTTATTGTGCCTAACTATTAATTCTGGTCTGCTGACCAGAATTAATACACTGGTTAAATTGTATTATTGATAACACTTGGGTTTAGTATGGCTTGCAAGGGCATCAAATTCCCATTTCCTGACTGAAAGTTGTATCTACTTGATTACTTGAAGATGTCATACTTCAAGCTCTACTTTTCGATGTTGAACCGGGACTCGACGGACCATTTTTGTGATGAAGAAATGAGGTAATGGTGTCGGTAGTTAGCTCGTCGCGAGGCGTTTGCTTCTCGACTCTGCAGCATGGAGAAATTGCTAGTTTCGGGCGAACTAATAGTGAATGGAAGGCTTTTCGTAATATTGAGGAGTAGTTTTATGTTTCATTGAGTGTGAAAATCGTTCTTAATAAATCATGCGTAGTAAGGTGTTGGGTTTGGTACGTGTTTTGATTTGGGTTTTCGGTTTTGGTTTCCTACTTTTGTCTTTAATGCTTCAGAAGTGAAGATAGTCCGATTCTCAAAAGGGCTAGTGTTCAAAAGTAGTGCAAACTTTTTATCTCTTCCTTCAAGCAAAGGTCAAATGAGATCCTCTTTGCTAGGATAAGTTTAATTGTACCACCAAAAGCGATAACTCAGTAGTAAAGCGGTCGCTGTCTTACATGAGATTAAGAATTCGAGTCATATCGTGAGCTAATATCTAATTAACTCGTTTCTTTAACGTTTGACACTTCAAGTGGAAAGACTTCTTGACCTTTAACATATATCAATATCAAGGTTTGGTCCTATCTAGGCCCGAATCTCTTGAGTCTCGTTCTAGGCTCAAGGCTGCCCAACTAGATCTTCCCAAGTTAAAATTTACAAGTGAAAATTCTTGGAAGTCCTTGCTTTGTGTTAATGAGGAAAAATTAATCTAAAAATAATGTAAAAAATGCCGATACAATTGTATGATTAGGTCCTAAAACTTATTTTTTTTTTGCGATTGGGTCTTAAAACTGTATTGAAAAATGTAATTGAGTCCTGAACCCTACGTGGAAAAGTCGAGTGAAAATAACTCTCGAAGTTCTCACCTTTGTTTCGATGGAGAGAAATCAATCCGAAAGTCCTAAAGATTAGGCGCGAAATACAAGTACGGTTGAGTTGGAAAGCATTCGATCGAGTCCTCAACTTTTCTGGTTTCTCGCGATCAGGTCCTTAAAACTCTATTGAAGAAGTGCCAAAATCCAGTTCGGAGGACGGAGACGAAGATCGAATCGATCGTGTCCGATCGGCTCGATCGCGCGTCGACGTCGGTGATCGGTGCCGTCGCCGGAGCATTTTGATCGGAGCGGAGCCGAGCGAGGTCATCTTCCGTGCGCGCGAGATGATGATGATGACTGGCTCGAAACTCGTCGAGCAACTCAGAGACTACCATCTCCGGTCTCGCCGCAGTGGCCCTCGCCTCTCGCTCCCTTCCCTCCCAAACCCCCCACATCACCACCCGGTATACTCCCTCTCTCTCTCTCTCTCTCTCTCTCGCTCGCTCTCGCGGAGCATTAGGCGTCTGTGCTGCGTGCAGTGCCGTTGGTCCCGTTGTTCCCAGTGCATTAGATGATCGGCATCGTTCGCGACGGTGAAATATTGACCTTTCCGGTGGTCCTTGGTAAGAGATTGCTGAAGAGACGTAGGATGAAAGAGCACCCTGAATGAGCTCCACACTCGTGAATTCCAAGATGGAAAGTGAGTCTGAACTGAAGTGCTGCTTTCGCCATTTACTATGATTCTGAATCAATTATACGTTATCTGGATCTAGTTTAGTCTAGTTGTTTGCTCGTGGACTTTGCTTTCTGATGATAGCTCGAGGATTGCGATTTATTTGCGCGGTCCCGTTTAGTTTTTTTTTATCGATTTGGGGATGATTGCCGCCGTGGCTATCTGTGATCGGATGTTTGTTTGTTGTCGTGTCGGCGTCCGTCTGGAAATGATTTGAGAAATTTGCAAATGTGTTCCGGGTTATCGAAACTGAGATCTTGTGTGAAAGTTGATGCGGGGCTGATGTTGCTGTAGCTATATTTTGGGCAGTGGTGTTTAGCATGCTCGTCGGGCTGACGTATCTGACGTTTCGTTGCGGTCATTTCTGGCTGTCCTTGACTGCATGCCTCGGAAACTTTCTACTTGTATGCCTCCGAAAATCGAGGCACGCTCTGGCCAGAAAAAAGGAGACAAGATTACCTCTGTCCCAGTGAGCGTAGATTAAGTATTTTGACATGAAACCTTCTAACTTGGTCAAGGAGTTTTGGTTACTCTCAATCGACTTGAGCAAATTGGCGAATACGTCCTCGGTGCACATAATGTCAGAAACCCAGTTATGATCTGGAAAGGAAGAAGTACAAGCCTACCTTATGCAATCCCTTGGTAAGAATCTTATCTTATTATGGATTATTCTTGGACAAATAGGCTCTTCATATTAGCACGCATAGGAAGCTGAGGATGTGGAGATGATAGGATGGCTCGAGAAATCTTTGACAATAATTGGCTCAAGTATTTGTGCCAGGTAGTTTTGAATTATTATCCTAAGAAACTTCACCAAGGGGGCAGATACTATACCAGTAAGCCATGTGCTGTTTGAAGGCTAATGTTCTGCCAAGCCTTCTTATGAATGACTAATCAATGACACACACACATGCTCACGGTGACAACTAGTCATTCTAAGACCAATTTCTAATCCATTAATTTATTTATTATTGGTTCAAATGTCTCTTTTCCTTTGCTCCTCCTGCTGTTTGGTAGTCAGAGTTTGTATGCCTGAGAGTATGTTTGCTATTTTTACCACTCTCTCTTCTGGAGAGACAAGTTTCACATTCCGTTCTACTTTGGTCTTTTTACTGGTAATGTTCTACTCTCATGTTTCTGAGGCAATGATTGGACTAATTCCTTTTGGAGACAGGTCCTTGCTAGCTGTACTTGGGATTATCAATGCTTAATCCACTTGATACTTCTCTCCTTTGCAACATCATGTTTATTCAGACTTGGATCGGTTCACAAACTCTTTGGCGCTGTGTGCTACGCATTCTTTTATCGTTCTTAAAAAGGACGAATTGCATCAGTTTGGTCCATCTCGTGCTGCCCTAGTACTACAGTTTTATAGGGTTATCGTTTCAATCGATTCGGTTAGTTCATTTGATTGCAGAAAATTTTACATGCTTTTCAACTAGAAAGAGTGGGTTTGATTTGATGGATGTCAGTTGCAAATATTCACAATCGTTGTAGAGGAGTTCGCTCACTAGGCATACATTGAAAAGCAAACCTTGGACCTGAAATTTGTAATCCAATGATGGAAGCATCTTCTTTAAACTGGTGGAATGTGCAGCTCTCATCATGTGATTGTCCTGGATCAAATTAGACACCGGCTAGAAGTCAGAAGAGAAGCTACCTCAATAGGAAGAAGAAGAGCAGAAGGGAGAAGATATCCCGAAGCCTTAAAGCGCTGTTTCAGCTCAGAGCATTGATTCCCCTGGAACCTCTATTCCATAAAGAAAGCAGGCAAACTCAAAGCATTCGGTCTCCCATTCTTTAGGTCAAGATTTAGACTGCTAAGTTGTTTGTCAGTATTTGAGTGACTTAATGATACCCTTGTAGCTTTAGACAGTTTTGCCTATTGCCAGTCATGTACAATATAGTCAATGTTGCTGTGTTATTGCAGCTTAAGCGTTGTGATTTGCTTACTCCCCTATCCTGGTCTTCTTTTGTAGCTGTTACGCGTTTATCCAATCACATGGCCGTGCTGTCGTGTAACCGCTTGAATTACCTTAGGATTTTTGGTTAGTTTTTCATGCATGCTTTTGTTCCTATGGCTATATTTTGGGCTATAATGTTTGCCATATTTGTGTCATCATCAGTGACATTTAGGTGTTTCTGTCTATTCTTTTCTATTGCATGCCTTGGAACCTTGCTACTTGTACAAGCTCACTCTCCAGTCACAGGATTCTTTTTATTCTATTCATCTTTATGAGCTTTTATTTTTTGTTTTTTTGAGCAATTAACAGCTAAAGCTGAAGCCAATTAATTTGGCCTAGGTGTCGCTATAGCAAGGAAGTTCATTGGCTCACTGATCATCTCATATAGCCTATCAGAGTTTGGTACACCCTGGTTTTCTCTTCATTATAGTACTTACCTCAGAATAGTATCATATATCTAGTAAAGTCTACTGGGCAATGTCCCGTTATCTTTCAATCAGTTTTGTGGGAACTTCGTGAGTAAGTACTCTGTTAATAGAGTTGGCATAACACTTACCAGCAAAGTTGTGTCTGGAGATCCTGCCAATTTGGAAGGCGTAACATTTACCCTTTGCTATTCGTCGAGGTAGAAGAGGACTGACATGCAAGTTAAAAGCTGACTAAAGTTATCCCCCAATTAAGAAAATCCGATCCCCGTTGTCAGATTTTATCATTTGTAGAGCATTCTTTGCATGCAAGGAAGCAAAATATTAGCTTGCACGGTAGCTTAGGTCGTGAAGATGATCAGTACTGAAGTCGCTATGTGGGTAATAATAATTAATGTTGTGCATTATTGATGTTGAATAGCTTGCTATGAGATACAGAGAAGGTAAAATCACACCAGTAGCTTGCCTTTTGAAGGTTAATGTTGTTCTGGGCTTTTTGGTGGGTCTTTCAGTGAACTGCTGTACTGGCTGAAGGCAGCATATCCGTTCCTTATCTGGGGATATAAGAGTTAGATGCAGGCAGAGACACCGAGTCATCGGAAGATTGGCTTCCAGTAGCTTTTTATTAGATCTATTATCGGTCTCGAGTCATTGGAGAGCTGTGTGTACTTGCTGTCGACAGTCGCTATTCGTTCTTGGATGTGCCTGTCATATTTAGTCTATTTATGTCGTATATTTGCTAATAATGAATCTTTTTTCTTATGTTATTGAGGCAAAGTATGGACCAACATACAAATATCAACGAATTCGGCGGTTTGAAGACCACAAAAATTCCTCACTTCATTATGGTTCGCAGACCCCTCAGGCTGTCATGATCCCCTTCTGGACCATTTCCTTCGTCTTCCTTTACATATCGTGCAAACAGCCGAGCTATGATCAGGGCATAAAACGAAGAAGAGAAAGAAGAAAAAGAGTTTGCAAAGATATAAATGAAACTGGGCTAATGGCTACCACACATAATGGGACATGTGGCCCTCTGGTCAGACAAGCTCTTTCGTGCTGGTTCATGGACAAGTGTTCATGTGGTGATGATTGCCTCGTGACGCTCTAATTCCAGCTTTCTTGGTATTATTAGCCTTGTAATGTGGAGTGGTATTCGAATATCTGATGTGTTAGTTTTGATATAATCACCAGCTGGATATTGCTCCATGATTGCTCTCTTAAGTTCTTCTGTCTTTTTGGTTGTTTTATATCTTTGCTTGGCTCGTTTACTTTTTTCCTTTTGGCCAGCGATAGAGTCCCTTTTCATTACTTGGAACGTATGAGCAAACACATAGTTGCTTCTAAAGCGGTCGCTTCTCCCCTTTGGGCTGCATCATTTGGGCCAAGAGATTGCTTCTGACCATTTAGCTCATGCATTCATGGTAATTTACTGCATGATCGTCGAGTTTTGGGAGAATCAGTGTCTCGGTCGAGAGGGTCGTGCCGTGCCGTTTACACACATATGCCTCGCTATATGTACAGTATAATGACTCTGCTCTGTTCTTTGACCAGACTTCGGTCGCTTGAACTTTCGCTTGCATGATTTTCTGTTCATGCCGTTGCTTTAATGGACCGGAACAGGGTTTCTTTTGGCTATGACGGTAAACTTTCGGTGATGGGAGAATAGCCACGTGTAAATTGGAGCTGTCTTTCGACATCGCGTGTTGTTTGTATGGTATGCTTGTACCATTTGTATTTATATGCATTACGATCCCGATTCACGGAATTTATAGGTTAGAAAGATTGACAGCATCTGTAAACGGAGGTTATGGCTGTTGTCATGCGAGTGTTAAACAAGGAAGCTGATAATCCAAATCAAACTAAACCAAGCCAAGCCGACGTGTTTCCTTTTATCAGGCTAGGGTTTGATTACGGGTTGTGTTTTGGTAATTAATGTATGCATTCTTTCTCGATTTACCAATCAAACCGAACCAAATCGCAACCTTTTCTTAGTATCTTCCAACAAAAAGTTGGGGGCACTGTTTATTCTTGCGTGCCATCAGATTTAGGGTTAGATTGTAACAAGTTAACATTAAACTTCTTACGTGTGCAAGCTTTACGTCATTGTTCAAACCTAGTTGAAGTAATTACAAACCGAAGGTATCTGTTTGATTTTTATTGGGTTTTGCTTGTAAGTCCTTTTTGTTTGGTCTAACATGGATTTTGGTCTCAATCTTTTTTTGAAAACATCTCTCTATCCAATCGAACCTGCTTGTTTTGCCATCCACATATAGAAATTGCGAAAAATAGAGGGTCGAGGTCGTCCCACAGATTCTGTACCTAAACAAGCAAGGCAATCGTGCGATATGGCCGAGATGCTAGAGCTGCTCAATAGGGCCCAGCAGTGCGCACAGAATCTATAGGCATGTGTACGTGCATGTGAAGGAAAAAGGTGGGGGTGGTCCTATCTATGTCAAAAGGTGCTTTTCCCAAACGAATTCGTGAAGACAAGTTAGGTTTTGGTACCTAACATTGGATTTGAGAGGGAATCAAATGCTTCTATGCATCTGAGAGCTTCAAAACTATATATGCGCTTCAGCATGCATCATCGCATCCCGATAAGAAAAGCGCTCTCTTTCTGTCTCTCTCTGTATCTCTAACTAAAATAGAGATTGAGTAACAAAACACTAGCCGCATGCGTTGCTTGAACTGTTGTCCCGTCATTTATAATACTCGATGAATCATAAATATAATACGGGCAGTGTGCAAAACTTGCAACAGAAGCCATCAAATTTAATGTAAGTAAAGAGGTACACACACCACAGAACATCAGCATCTTTTAGCCTTGGTACCACCCAGTTGCGCAAGCACCATCCTTCAAAGGAAAGGGCACATGCCCATTTTATTTTGAAAGAATGATCTTTGACATCAAACAAATAACAACCTGATTTAAGTTAACAATAAGATACTAATAGGTGTTTATAGAGGGAGAAAGGAATTATTATAGGAAGGATGCTTGTTCAAATTTATGTTGCTACTTCCACAATAGCTACTTTAGCAAATGACATGAAGATTTCAGGCGGTGCATCATATGAGTCTTGTATGAGAAATAATCGAATATAGAGAATTAACCCTAGTCCCATATAGCCTCAATTGCTAATAAGATCATGGGCACAAAGATATAGATCTAAAATTTAGACAAAGTGAAGTATATAGCACTATCACCTAGCTATCACCTAGAAGGGGGGTGGGGTGGGTGAATAGGTGATTGTAACCGATCTTGACAAATTAAAGCGGAATTAATACGATTAAGATTTATATCATGTAAAGACAGAGTCTGAAGTGAGATTATACTATTATCATATTCACTTGTGTGCGATGTATTATCAAAGATAATAATTAAAAGTTAAGGGATGGAGAAAATTGCACAAAAAAATTATAGAGGTTCGGCTTATTGCAGGCCCACGTCCACTCTTCACGCAGACAATCCATTAGTTGGATTTCACTAGTAAATCAAATAGAGGTTACCAACGAAAGTGATAACACTCAATCTTGATAGGTCTCACTATCTTAGAGTCACTCGTCTCACAATCTCAAAGTTACTCTTCTCACAATCTTAGAGCCACTCTTTTTACACCTCTTAAAAATTATAGAACTGTAGTGCACCAAGACAAGTTTATAAGGTAGAAGCTCTCTTGGACTTTGGTACATTAGATTCATGATCTCACTAATTCTCTTCAGTATCAAAATCTCCTTTTATACTTCTCCACTTCGAATCTAGCTGTTGAACCGTCTTCAGAGGATCATTCTCCAATCAACTCGTTGGATACGAATGCCTCAAGGAGATTGAGTAGCCATTAAGTGATGAAATCATAATCCCCCATTGATTCAGTCACCCATACAACCAAAGCTGGGTTTTCATAAGTAGAGTTCTTCATTTGAAAAGAATATCTTGTCTAAGGACAATTATCAATCAAACAAAGATGTTTTGCTTTGAGTAAGTTCGTTGCAAAACAATCTTTTAAATTGAGGATTAATCATCATATTCTATACAAGAAATCCGAGCCAAATCACTAGCAGTTGCTATATATAATTTATATCTTGAGTTTGAATAAACTTTTTGATCCGATGATACTATATGAGTCTGAATGCTCCTTGAGTCTGAATAGATTTAGCATAGAGTCTGAGGATGCCAAACATTTTGACAATATTTTCGTCCAACCTTTTGTGATGTCTTCATATTACTCTACTGATGTCCTTAGGATATTTGATCTCCACAAAGTAAACAAACAGAATTTCAAAAGATAACCAGAGTTTGAATATCGTTTCTCAATCTCCTTCAAACTCAATAGATATTAAAGAAGTTTTTGTCCATCTTTACAACATGAGGAAGTTTTCTCAACACAAAGAGTTTTCCATCAAAATTGGACAAAAGCAGCTCTTTTTCAAATTTTCCAGCACGCCTGATTTACATAACTGGGTAAGGCTTTATTTACGTGACGGTGGGCAGAGATCCGAGGTTAATATGAGTGGAGTGTAAATTCGAAAAGTCACTTTACAGGAAAACATAGTTCGAAAAGTTAACACTTAATTGAAGCACACATGAATAGCTTACATAAAGTACCACAATGGAAATGTGTGAAGAAGTGGGTACCTCATTCAACATCAACCGCACCTATAAGGAAAGCTGTGGTAAAAGTGGGTTACTATTTGGCAAACTTGTTCACAGGACCTATCACATCCAGGGTTAAAGGAGAGGAAACATACATGGAAGCAACAGAAAACAAAAGGTCAAAAGCCATGCTAGGGTTTCTTTGGACACCCACTTCACCCCTTTGATCTAGTTTATAAGGCGCATTACATCTTGAATAATACCGAAAGTAATCTTTGTAGGATTCCAAGGGAACAACTCAAAAGATTACAATGACATCCAATAACAATGTCGAATAATCTATTAGCATTAATATAGAATCTAGATAACCACGACATCAAATCCAATTTAACATAAAGTACTCCAAGGAACTCTCTCCAAAAAGAGAAGAAGAATATATAAAGGGCATCTTTTTTTTTCATCATTATTATAGTATTAGAGTAAATAAACTATGAATTATCCACTAACCCAAGAAGATAAATCTGCTAATAGGAGAAGCTCGTAGGCCTAGTTGTCATGCCACTAGTGGCCAGTGGTTTATTTCTTTTGAGATGATAAGACATTGGGAATAATCGATATACTCAGTCCAGCAAAAAAGCCGAAATTCTAGGCCAATCAATTGCACCTTTTCTACTAACGTTAGGCCAATGAACTCAATTATTCCTTTTGTCCTGTGGGTTTTATTAGCTTTACCGTCATCATGAAGCCTTTAATCAGTGTCTAAATTATTGACTGAACTTGATGTGAAGGCTGAAACCAACGACATTGAGCTGTGGCATCCTAATGCTCGACCTTATTATAAGTCTCCAACAAGTCATATCGGCTGATGGGTCGAAGAAACCCTAGCATTATGCTTCATTCATGCCGTGAAAATGAAATAAACTTTGCACTACTCTTAACACTGATATGTAGATGCAATTTGCATAACATTCTAGTTATAAACATGTTCTAGATACGCTACTCTAACACGCGCGTCTGCACATACATAAATACACATTCAAACTCGAACGATTAAAATGGAGGAAATAGTAAGAAGTTTAAACAACGTAACAAAAAAGAAAAGAATCTCGAAATTGGCAAGAAAGGTAAAAGTAAAAGCTGCAAATACAAAGTTTGAATGAAATCAAGCTGATGTAGTTTGAAAATAAATATGACCATGCTAGCTACATATTTGACTTGATTTTGACACTTTATAACTATTAACTGAGTGATTAACATATCATTAAAGCATGCCTGATCTTTCATTCAGTTAGTCATGCATTCCCACTTATGGTTATTCAAATTCTGAACCTAATAGTAGAATCTTAGAACCTCAG